GAGTGGGCGGGGGGGGGGGGGGGGGAAGGTGGCGAGTCCCTTTTTTGTCTGGAGAGTAGGGTTTTCCATAATTTGTCGAGCCCTGAGTATAACTGTGTAGCCGAGGGGGTGTGGATTTTCCTCATCTCTGGGCAACATAGTTATACCGACATAAGTGTGTCATATACACCAGGGTTTAGTTAGATCCTTCTGTATGTATTGTTCTGGCCAGGAACTGTGTTTATTCATTTGAACAGTGCCTGGGACAAAGGAACCCTGATTCATGACTAGGGCCCGAGTACATGCTAGTGCAAATAGTTTATGGCAGTAAAGAGTTTTATTCATGTTGTGCATTACCTGAGCTGGTCTCTGACCGTCAGAATGTTGCTTCACACCACAAGCAGAACATCAGCTGTGTCAAACACCCTAAAAATGCCTTTCTGTGTTCTAGGACTTGGCGAACTGATCCCCAAAATGGCACCTGTATTTTGGCAGCTACCTCAATTGACAGTGAAGGAGCTACTCTACATGGGATTTTGGCCCATGTCCTTTTGTGTCAGTATCTCATAGAACCAGTTGGCTCCCAGAAATGCAAAGTGACTCACGTCTGCCGAACAGACATGAGGTATCATTTTAGTTTGTTTCTTTACTGTAGCCCTATGGCACTTCTGAATGCTCAGCTCACTTTTCAGCCACCAGTATGTTCTGCCACATGTATTACACAGTAACACAGTGGGAGGAAATTTAATATAAGAATAATACTTAGCACTGAAGTGGAGAGGGCACGGGGCTGGGCTCTGGTTTTAGTTGCTGGCTAAACCGCTTATTTTTTCTTCCTTGTAAAGGTTCTCTCTTGTGTAATGAGGATAATGCTACTTTCTACCTGTGTAAAAACGCTGTGAAGTCTTTGGCCAACAAGTGCCTGTTGATTTGTGTATACACATACACAGCTCTGCCCAGTACATTGTCTCCCAGATTATCCAAAACACTGTTTTCGCATTGGAACGGATGGTATTTAAAATCCCACATAATCTTTTACTTAGATTTTTTTTTAACTGTGAATTCTGTATTAATTGCCTTGAGCACAGTGAGTACTGTGAATATTCTTCATATCCTGAAGCTGTCGCACAGTGTTTCTGAGTGCTGTTTTAATAGCTCTTCTATGACCTTTATGGCTACATCTGGACTGCAAGCCTTTTTCAAAAGAGACTTTCGAAAAAGAGCGTCTAGACTACAACCAGTACTTTCGAAAAAGCAAGCCGCTTTTTCGAAAAGAGAGCACCCAGACAGTCTGGATGCTCTCTTTTGAAAAAGCACAGTTTGCCTTACATAGCGCCTTTTTTCGAAAGAACACTTTTGGAAAAAAAGGCGTTATTCCTCATAAAACGAAGTTTTCCGCAGTCAAAAAAGCTGCCGCATTCTTTCGATTTTACTTTTGAAAGAACGCGGCAGCAGTCTAGACGCAGGTGAAAAAAAGACCTTTTTTAAACCCTGTAGTCTAGATACACCCTACGGGGAGAGAGGTAGAAAAGAGCAAGCAAGGGTGAAAGTCTAGAAGCCGTAATGATCAGTGCACTGCAAGTCAATGGCTAGCCGCAGGTATCCGCATCTGCAGATGTGGATGCAAATATCTGCAGCTCATTTTTGCAGATATGGATGCAGATAGAAATTTTGTATCCACACAAAGCTCTAAAGATTGCTTCATAGGCTCTGGTGGGGAAATCAGTGCACATTCTCATGAGTTATGAAGGGGGCTGCATGTTAGCTATACTTGTATAAATCAAGACGAGGACTTGCTGATTCGTCTCCCTAAAACAACAAAAGGTACAGGCTTACCCCCAATATCCTAACACTTGAAGTGGGAATTTCAGTCACACACAAATGAGTGCTGCAGGATAGGCCTTGCTCCTGACCTGCAAAGGGACACAGCGCACAGTTCTTTGGTTTAACCCAGGGGATATAACCAGGGGCAATAATTTTTAAAAGGGGGCCACTTCACAAATGGGCCGCCCTGGAAGGGGTGGGGCCAGGAGACACCTCCTGTTTCCCCACCCACAGACCCTGATTGACCTGGGGTAGGGGAATGCTTGAAGTCTTTGCCCCCTGCCCTCCCAGAGCCTAGAGAGAATCACCAGCTGTTTTAAAACAGCTGGTGGTTCCCTCTGATGCCACACGCCCCTGGTGGGGGAAGGAGACTCTGCATGCTCTCCCCATCCCCAGGTGTTGATTAGCCTGGGGACGGGGGAGCGGAAGGACAGCCACAGGCCGGATCCACGGGCTTAGTGGGCCACATTTGGCCCACTGAGGCTCCTTTGCCCACCCCAGGTTTAACAAAGGCAGGTAAATGGAGTGTAACCTGTAGCAGGACTTTCTCCATGGTGTTTCAGAATAAATAAGCTAGTGGAAGTGACTCCAGTCCTATGATGTTGGAGGAAAGTTAGATTTGACTCATACACTAGATAGTCTGCCCAAGAACAGTGAATTCTACTACCTCCAGGCTCTCAAGAGATGTGACTTACTCTGTAAGGGAAGGTCTTGTTGGGGAGATGCATAGGTCAGCTTTAAATTGCATGTCTGAATTTTAAAATTACTTGAGGCATAATGTAATACTGCAATTCCTTTTTCACGTGTGTTTTACCTCTCTGCATGACTCGCTTTGTGCCAGAGCTCTGGAACTCTCCCAGAAATAGGAGTGAAATTTGAGGATGCTGTGAAATGTCCAATGGACTTGAATTGCTACATTTAGTTTCAATTAACCAAAACCTAAACAGGCGAGAGTCACAAGTAACACAGCACCTCTTTGGCTAAACAATCTGCTGCAAGCTGTGAAATAGCCACTGATGCCACTCAACAGAAAAACAAGTGGGACTCTGTTGGGGACCAGCTGCAATCACTGAGTAAATAGCTAATTATATTGCAATTACTTGCCTTAATGAGGACACCATAACCATCTGGATAAACCTCATTTTCGTAAGCATGGGAGTGACTCTGTAAGTAAATCGGTTACTAATTTTAGGCTAGAGAGCTGGTCAGTGGGAAAAGGTGAATGGAAAGGAATTCTTTAGCCCAGGACTGTTCCCTAAAAGACAAGTCCCCAGAGAGACTCCAGAGTGTGAACACTGATAGTACAAGTTAGATCTCCCTGGTCTAGCACCCTCAGAACCTGACCGGTCCCAAAGAAGGGAATTTTCTGGACCAGGGTAGGTCCTTTGCCACTGACTCCCCAACCTGCTACCCTACCCCTGCTGCTGCCGGCTCAGCTTCCGGTCCCAGTTGGGTGGCCTCCCGCCTGTCTGAGTTACTGGCTCTGCTGCTGGATGCCAGATTCCCAGCGCCACGACTGGATGCTGGCCCTCCTCCCACCAGACTCCCAAACTAGAGAGTACCACTGTTGGCAAGTACAACCTGTATTTGAATGGGCATACGCTGTTGAACATTTAGCATCCCAGGAGTCGATGTGGCTGAATTACATATCTCCGCATCTGAGGTGATGTTGCCGAGCTCTGTCCTAAATGACCAAATCTCCAGCTCCTATGCGTGAATGTGAGCTGTAGCTCTGATCTAGGATTGCGTTGTCACCAGCTAAAGCATGGTGGATCTGCTGGAGATAGAATAATGAGGTTTTGCGCGGCGTCTGTCACCTCATCTGTTACTTGTAGCTCTATAATGGCAAGATGCCTACGTTGTCAGAAGTGACTGGTGATTGCCACTCCCTTTAACTGTGGGCTTGGCATTAAACACTTTAAGGTGCCTTGGTGGCTCAAAGAGCTGGATTCTCAACACTTTCTGAAATGTCTAATGGTGGACACTCATTTCTGAAGTAGTAGACAATGGCACCTGAACTGGATGTTGATATATTTAATACTCTAAAACATGGGTTCCCAAACTGGGGGTGGGGGGCATGAGGCCCCAATCAAGTTTTTTTTTTTTGTTTTGCTCAACAAGTTTTGCTGCTTTTTGGGGGGGTTTTTCAAAAATCAAAAAGGGGGCATGCTGCTGAAAAGTTTGGGAAAAGTTTAGTTGTTGCTCTAAAACAACTTCTTGTGGGAAAAGAACAGAAATGATGGCTCATTTAAAGGTCTGATGGATGTATCCATTGGAAAGACATTTGCAGCAGCTAGCAAAAATTGTACTGCATGTGATGTTCCAAAGTTCCTCCACTGAAATTAGTGCATTTTTGCATTAAAACCAGCTCTTTCCCAGACCTAGCCGAACTGTTCTTCAGGTTGTTTTACAGGGAGAAGTGTGGCCTATGTGTGTATACACAATGATGGAGGGGAGATGTAGGCATTATTACAGTACAAATTAAGAATAATTAGGTGTGTATGTTCTAGTGATTGGTTAACTTTTTACATGGTTAAACTATAATAAGCCTATTGATTAGCATTCATGGTTACACACAAACTCCTGATGCCTCTGTATCAGCAGCTGGCTCCCCGAGAGTGGGGCTACAGGCGGGAGCCGGCGTATGCCAGGAGCCAGCTTAACTGTGAAATCTTTCAGCAGTTACATGTTTACCCAATTATCTACTTTTTAACATCCCTAGTATGTACTTATAGATTAAGAATGTAGTGGATAGAAAGAAAATGAATTGCTTTGACCTCTTTATACATCTTTTAAGGGCTGCTAATGTACTGTGTTCTTGATTTGCAGGGGACGAACAACAGAATGGTACAACAGGGTCTTTGGTCATATGTGTGCTGCAGAACTGATGAGGATAAAAGACTCCTTCAAACCTCTCAGTGCTGGCACAAAGGAAACCAAAATCTAAAAGCGTCTGGTTCTAAACAGAGGCTGGTGCTGAGGAATGAGCTGCTCTTGTGCTGTCATTTTAAAAGCTACAGACATAATAGACTTGCCTATATTTTAAACCAAAAAGTAATTTGTAATGGCCTATAAATGTAATGTAATATAGTAATTTCATAAAGCTGCTTTTTCTTTCCAGTTTCAGGAAGATGTTCTTGAACTGGTTGCACAAAGATGGCTAAGAGTCAAATGTGTGTATGTATATATGCAGTTATAAAATGCAATTTTTACACCCAGGAAAGAGACAAAATATAGTTCAAAATTATAGTTATAAAGTAAATTATTAAACTAAGAAATGGTATTTCTCCAAATATACATTAAGTATTTTACAAGATGTGGAATTTTATGCATTCTAGAGTATTTTCTCTTGAATTATCTTTTTATTGAATAAGGTGGTGGAGATGTGAAGTTAATTTTAACCTCTTTACAGTTGAAAATAGGGCTGAAAACCCTTGTCTTTTTAATAGGGGAGCTAAATACTTAGCATATGCTGTTAACTCTTGATACTTCCTTTTTACATAATAAACCAATCGGGGAGGGGGAAGGTTGTTGAATGTTTTAAGTAGAGTTCCTGCATTTGCCTATTTTGCCCATGTTGAAGCTTGTAATAATTCAGTTGTTAAAGGCTGTAAGCCAATTTAACCAAACTAAATTCTAAGCGGAGATTATGTGATTGGCATTTGAATGTAACCTGCAACTTAAGTCACTTGAGCTAAATCCTAGGCATTGTGCTTGTCTACTGAACTAGAATTATGGTTAAACACTTATGTACCTTTAATAAGCTGCTCATCATAAAAGGCAAAAAGTGTGCGAGTACAGCTAATTAAAGTGCTACTCCTACGTGAAATGTTTTATACAGCAGGTGTGCAGGGGTGTGTTCAGTCTTTTGTTAGTTGTTCATTGTGAAACTAACTTGCCCTTGATTTAGAAGGACTTGGAGCTCATTCACAATTGCATTTGTGATTAAAGAGTTGCTGAGATGTTTGCCATGCAAAGCAGCAGTATTACCTCTTTACAGCTATGGTTGTGTAAATTGTCAGCGGTTTCCCTGCACATACACTGTTCAGAACATCTAATAGTAGATTTTATAGTGCTACATAAGATAGCTGAATAGTAGGCATATCAGTCACTGGCCCTGAGTCAGGTGCATTGAACATAACTGGAGTGGTAAAACACAGGACTGAAGACAGTTGAATAAAAAAACCTACTAAATTATCACGTCATGAGTGACTGTAGCCAAATGCTATATGGCTGAGATGAGTGAATAGTGTCTGGTATTAAGTGAGGATAATAATATAATAGACATTACAGAAAAAGCATGGAATGACAACAACAAATAGAACACACTGGCTATATCTAGACTACATCCCTTGTAATGAAGCTGGGATTTACATTTCCTGTGCTTCATTTGCATAATGGCAGCATTTTTTTTCAAAAAGGGGTTTTTCAAAAATGGCTGTTTAGACAGGGATCTTTCGAAAAAGGGTTAAAAAAAACCCACAGCTGCCATTATGCAAATGAAGCATGGGAAATTTAAATCCTGGCTTCATTTGCAATTTCTCTCTAATTCACATCCCATTTTGTGAGAAAAGGGATGTAGTCTAGACACAGCCAATAATAGTGTCAGAGGGGTAGCCGTGTTAGTCTGAATCTGCAAAAGCGGTGAGGAGTCCTGTGGCACTATATAGACTAACTGCAGTGAAGGAGCATAAGCTTTCATGGGCAAAGACCCACTTCGTCAGATGCATGTAGTGGAAATTTCCAGAGGCAGGTATAACTATGCAGGCCAGAATCAGGCTGGAGATGACAGGTGGCTCCAATCAAGGAGGATGAGGCCCACTTCTAGTAGCTGATCTGGAGGTGTGAATTCCAAGAGAGCAGAGGCTGCTTTTGTAGTTAGCCAGCCATTCACAGTCTTTGTTTAATCCAGAGTTGATTGTGTCAAACTTGAAGATGAACTGTAGCTCAGCAGTTTCTCTTTGAAGTCTGATCCACTTACACCCCTTCTCTACCTACGCTACATCGCTGACATCTTCATCATCTGGACCCATGGGAAGGAGACTCTGGAAGAATTTCACCATGATTTCAACAGCTTCCACCCCACCATCCACCTCAGCATGGACCAATCTACACGGGAGGTCCATTTCCTGGACACCACTGTACAAATAAGTGACGGTCACATCAATACCTCCCTATACCGAAAACCTACCGACCGCTATACTTACCTGCATGCCTCCAGCTTCCATCCCAGACACACCACATGATCCATTGTTTACAGCCAAGCACTGAGGTACAACCGCATATGCTCCAAACCCTCAGAGACCTACACCTACAAGATCTTCAACAAGCATTCTGTAAACTGCAATACCCACAGGAGGAAGTGAGGAGACCGATTGACAGAGCCAGACGTGTACCCAGAAGCCGCCTGCTACGGGACAAGCCCAAGAAAGAAACCAACAGAACACCACTGGCCATCACCTGCAGTCCCCAGCTAAAACCTCTCCAATGCATCATTAGTGATCTACAGCCCATCCTGGACAATGATCCCTCACTTTCACAGGCCTGGGGAGGTAGGCCGGTCCTTGCCCACAGACAACCCGCCAACCTGAAGCATATTCTCAACACCAACTACACACCGCACCATAATAACTCGAACTCAGGAACCAATCCTTGCAACAAACCTCGGTGCCAACTCTACCCACATATATACACCAGCAACACCATCACAGGACCTAACCAGATCCGCCATACTGTCACTGGTACATTCTCCTGCACATCCACCAACGTAATATATGCCAACATGTGCCAACAATGCCCCACTGCTATATACATCGGCCAAACTGGACAGTCCCTACGTAAAAATCAATGGACACAAATCTGATATTAGGAATGGCAAAATACAAAAACCTGTAGGGGAAGACTTCAATCTTCCTGGACACACAATTGCAGATCTAAAGGTAGCCATCCTGCAGCAAAAAAACTTCAGGACCAGACTTCAAAGAGAAACTGCTGAGCTACAGTTCATCTTCAAGTTTGACACAATCAACTCTGGATTAAACACAGACTGTGAATGGCTGGCTAACTACAAAAGCAGCTTCTGCTCTCTTGGAATTCACACCTCCAGATCAGCTACTAGAAGTGGGCCTCATCCTCCTTGATTGGAGCCACCTGTCATCTCCAGCCTGATCCTGGCCTGCATATTTATACCTGCCTCTGGAAATTTCCACTACATGCATCTGATGAAGTGGGTCTTTGCCCACAAAAGCTTATGCTCCTACACTTCAGTTAGTCTATAAGGTGCCACCGGACTCCTCCCTGCTTTAGCCAATAATAGCAGAGCCTAAAACACAAGGTGGTAATACTAGGGGGAAGGGAGCAATGATACTTCATTGCAAGGATGAAGTGAGGCAAATACAGTGGATCTTAAATAACTCAAACTGCGGATAGAATTTGCATGCTTTGAGAGTATAGCGCCAGGAAGGTATTGCTTTACCAGTATGGTCATTGACAGATGCTCTGGGAGACTAGAGGGGTTATAAAAATAGAAAACTCTGCCCTATTGGAAGATTTCACTTATCCCCACATTGACTGGATACGTGCCAAGCTGGGATACAAAGAAAGACCTAGTTTCTGGACATCACTGCCTTTCTGGAGCAGCTAGTTCTAGAACCCAGAAGAGGAAGCAAGTGTTAATACTAAATCATCTGTTCTGCTCAGAGATGAATATAGCTATCAGCAAGCCCTAGTATAAAAACATTAACAGCACTGTTTGGTGTTTCCCCTAAGTGATGAATATGGCTGTGCCCCATTTGCATATGTTCATGTGCAAGACTGGCCAGTGTAGACACAGCCAAAAGATACAGCCACAAAAGTTAAATGCCTGCAAGCATTTTAAAACCTGACAATGGAGGCCCAAAGTGACGGTATACATCAAAAACATAGTAAGATGACCAAAAAAATAAAACTGCTATAAAGCAAAAAGGCATCCTTTAAGTGAAAGCCTACTGAGCAGAACAGACAGGAATATAAATGCTGGTGAGTCAAGTGTAAATAAATATGCCACCAAAGTAATTTGAAGAGCAAAACACAAACAGCAAAAACAAAAAAAAAAAACCAACCCCAAAATTTAAAACCAGCTGCACCGTCAGGAAGGTAGTGGATCAAGGTGCAAAAAGAATATACGAGGAAAAGGTTAGTGTCAGAAGTTAAATCAATTTTTTCCTTTCACAGCCTCTGCATTAAAGTGACTCAGTCTCACATCTGAGTCATTTGTTTTAAGTGACAAAGATGAAGAATGGTCTCAAATTAAGGGGGAAGAAAGGAGGTTTCTGGAACAAACAGGAACAGCAGGACCAAAAGGCAGTCATCTAAGGTGGGAAGGAACTCAAATATGAAATTGCTAAGTGTGGTATGTGACCTACTTGAACCAACTTCTCTACAGCCAGACAAAAGGCTTGTTGTACAGGCCCCTTTAATGAGAACAAGGTAAAATTTGCACCAGTAATGCATAGGTGAAAACCTAAGCCCATCTAAACAGACAAAATTAGGTTAAAATTAGCTGTTACTGCTCAAGCGAGACATTACATGATTGTGGAGTGATCTCGTTGAGCTTTTTTGATTGCCACTGTATGTTGAGCAAATGTCTGGATGATGCACTACATTCATGCTAGCTTCACTACCACATGCAGGTCTAATAACCTCATGGCGAAGAAAAAAAAAAGTAAGAAAGGCAAAAACCACACTTGTGGCTGGGCTGGGTCTAGACTGGCCAGTTTTTCTGGAAAATCAGCTGCTTTTCTGGAAAAACTTGCCAGCTGTCTACACTGGCCGCTTGAATTGCTGCAAAAGCACTGATTTCCTACTGTAAGAAATCAGTGCTTTTTGCGGAACTACTAGGCTGCTCCCGTTTGGGCAAAAGTCCCTTTTGTGCAGAAGGGCTGGTGGAGACAGCTGAGATTTGTTTTCCGCAAAAAAGCCCCGATCGTGAAAATGGCAAAAAGAGGGCCCACTGACAGAGTACATTTCCCCCTGAAGAAGTAGGATGACCCATTATAACTGGCCTTGGGTAGTGTGGCAGTAGTGATGTAAGCCCCAAGGAAAACTAATCCTTAGAAGTTGCCTAGGAATGCTGCCAAATTAACACTATTGCACCATTGGCAATGTAGGTTGTGACATATGCTTGTGCTAGAGATGAACTACTTAAAAGTTGTGTTAGCAGATAAGTCACACAGCTAAACCTGGAGCCAGGCATCCAATCCTAAAGCAGCTTTTAAAAATACTCAAATCAGATTAAGTACATAAACATTTAGCTGCAAGAACAATGAAAAATGTGTGTAAAATATAATATGGGCAGGGATGCGGCAATGAGTTTTTTTAATAGGTAGAACAAGGGACTTTCTAAAGCTTACTTATTACAGAGATTTGTTTTAAAGTCCAGTGTAGCATATGTACAATTAAAAGTGAAGTAGTTTAGTGTTGTGCAATAAGGGCTAATGATTTTAAATGCCCCCAAATGAAATTTTTTGTTAGCTGGAGTTAAGCTATGCTTAATTTAAGATAGTTCTAGTTTACTATAGTTTAAATCCCCTCCTCGCCCCCTCCCCCACGGAGGCCCCCCCCCCCGGCCCCACACACACACCCAAAACCCCTTAGACTTCAGTTGCATAGTTGACCACAGCTGTAGCTAGTCATTTATGATGGCTTTGACACATATGTATACTTTACAATAGTATTAGAAACAGTGTTTTACTGGTGTTCTTTACAGGCTTTGAGAAATGAGAATGCATTTAAACTGAGCAATGGGTGAAAAACTCCACAGTAGTAAGGTACAAACCTACCCCCCCTGCTGAGGCCACAGGGAATTAGTAAAAATCTTAAAATGCAAACAATGTACAGATTCAGCTGCACTTCACTCATTCTTCCTTCAAATTAGCTTAAAGATCCGGACTAAAATATACTAAGTCTGTGGTACTCAGGCTGAAGCTAGCAAGCCCCAATGGCTCTTTAATGCATCTCCTGCACTTCTTTATAGGTGTGATTTAATTAACCATTCAGGATCCTTTTAAATTATCTTATGAACCAGTGGTAGCTAATAAACTAAGACTCCTGGGTCAGTCCTTTTGCTGTGAGACTAATATATATGAAAACTAAATATTTCCAATCACACTGTTTAAATATGATTTAAAAAGAAACAAGTCACACTACTAAGGTTCTTTTGGGGACTACTGATCGCTAACTTGGCTCCTGCAGCCCCGGTTTGAGAATCACTGGTCTGACTTCAACTGCATCTTTCTAAAGAATTAAACTTTAGCAGTTTAAGCTATTAAAAAACATTTATATGAGACTATGCAACATAGGGTGCATAGGACAGCTTCTGGTACATATGACAGTTGGGAATGTTAATATGAGTAAGAATTTGACCACTTTCTTATTCCTATGCTGTAAATACTTTTGGATGAAGTACTGAGTTTGTAATAGCCTGGACAAAGCACCTCTAATAAAGGTGCAGCTCGCAAACATTGTCAGTTCTGTTCTGTCTCTGTGTTCCAGGTTATACCACTGATGCATTCTTGACCTTGATTTTATGGACCTATTCAGGCACCCATGTGTAAAAAGTTGTTTCCTTCAAAACAACACTGACAATATGCCACCCTGCTATAGGGTAGGGATGTAAGTGTGTGCTTACTGATAAGCATGTGCTTACTGGGTAGTTGACTAGTAACTCTGGTACTGGAGGTACAGGGCTAGGAGCAGGAGGCCCATAGTAGGGTGAGAGCCCAGTTCCTCTGTCTCCCCCTTATGGCAGAACTGCAGAGGGGTTAGCTCCTGGGCCAGGAGCTAACCTCTCTGCAGTTTCTCCCCTTATCGACTGATGGAAATTCCATTGACTACACATAATTTAACATGCCTAGTACAGGGCAGTATACATTAACTCAATCCATGAAATATTGGCAGTTATTTATTTCTGAAGGAGGTTTTGAATAAGACTTCACTATGACAGCTGAGAAAACTAGTTTAGGAAAATACAAGTGGTCCAGGTGCAGGGCAGTTACATCTTCTGGACAGGTTTGATGCCCAGGATGTCAAACCCTTTGGCCATGATAGCAGCTGTTGCTTCACACAGCAACATTCTCCACATGTTCACCTTCATTATCATTCCTGAAGAAGAAAATAAATAATATGAGTGTGAATGAGATGGGTCAGGAGTCACTGCACCCACTAAAAGGTAACAATGCACGAGTTTCAAGCGGAAGTACAGCAAGTAGTGTTTTTGCACAAGAGATGATCACTCTGATATAGTTTTCTGTTACAAGCGCAAGCACTTGTAAGCTGCTTTGATATACAGGCAGTCCCTGGGTTACGTACAAGATAGGGACTGTAGGTTTGTTCTTAAGTTGAATTTGTATGTATGTCGGAACTGGTACATATTGTAGGGGAAACTCTAGCCAAACATTTCTCCAGAGCTCAGTTTTATTCTCCCACACCTCACTTCCCTCAGTCCTTTATTCTCAAGCTGAGGTGTCTGCTGAGAAAAGCCTCTCCACGTCTCCCTGGTCTGCTGGAGGAGTGGGGGGGGCACTAGCTTCGCGTCTTCCTGGTCTGCTGGGGGGAAGCAGCTAGTGCGGGGTTGCCTCACCCTGTTTGTAAGTAGGGATCCGATGTAAGTCGGATCCATGTAACCCGCGGACTGCCTGTATATGGTGAATTTCTTTTTTTAAATAGAAATGGGTTTTCTATAAAGCAGCAGAAGAGAAGTCGATGTTGACCACAGACTGCCTTCCTCCAAATATGGCAATAGCTCTGTTCTTTGTATAGGCCAAGACATGCATTGGTTTATAAAAATCAGTAGCACTTGTCATACAAACCAGATATTATTTACTATTAGCAGTACCTCTGCAGAAAGAACAAAAAGTTGCCTCAATATGCATGTGCATCTTGTAGTAAAAAATTACTGGAGTAGCAGCCTTGTTAATGCAAAATTAAAACAAATCCAGATGTGAGTAGTTTTAATGACCTTTCAGCCTGGAATGCTGGTGCAAACCTGATCAATTGCATCATCAGAATCCTCTAATTATAATCTCATAGGGATGTGGCTGCTGCAAGTTTAAGGGATGCACTCACCAGTTTGTCTGTCTTTTTCCACACAATAACAGTTATCATAGAACTCTGTGAAGGTGGTGGCCAGCTCGTAGAGGTAGTCACAGAGCGTGTGTAGTAAGAGGTCATCCAAGATCTTCTGCAGAATCTCAGGAAATCTCAGAATACACTTGCCCAGTTTCCACTCCTTTTCATGGTCCAGCAAGATCTCTGTTTCTCTAGCTGCTTTCTGCAACATCTCTTCATCAATGTTGGCCAGGCGTGCTATAGATCTGACAAAGAAACCAGCCCAGCTATGGTCATGTTTATGTATAGAATTCTGCAACAGGACTGAAGGGCCGAAAGCAAAGGGATTATGATCTAGCTATGGAGTGATAACTCAAACAGATACTAGAAAGCAGCCTGAATTGCATAGCAAAATATTCATTTTCACCAAGGATGCGACCATGCACTGGGTGGAGACAATAGCGAAGGGGCTGGACATGTCTACAGGAGAAAGAGGGGATGACAAGCAGAAAAGCAGTAACAGATGGGAGAGGGAAGTAGGGACAGGTACCCAAAAGAGGTGAGAGGTGCAGAGTTCTCGGGAAACGAGCTATGCAGTATAACCCTATATACATATTCAATCAGGAGAGAGCTGTATATCAATCTGATGCCTGCCTGGAAAACATCTCCATACACGTGCACTGAAAACATACCTGCCCCTTAGTGACCATTTTCACTAAGTAGGATGCATCTAGACATAAGGCAGAATTGTGCCACACTGCTAGAAAAAACTGCCAGCCTCTCCACCCAGCTTAAGGACAGCCTGCAGTGACTGCCAACAACTGATTTCCACTTCCATGCCCTCTCAGAAGAGATGGGGCCTAGATCACAGCATCTGACAATACTGAAAACAGGCTTAGGCGGATGAAGTGCCAGCCCAGCACAGAGTTCAGGCTGAGCTACTATGAAGCATGTATGGACTTTATACTGAACAGGGCAGAGCTTTCCAGACGGGGCCCGCTAGACTTCTTCTTTGGTATCTAAGGGCAAGCAGCTTGTGAAACAAAATGGAACATACTTAAGGCCCCAAACACAGAGATTTTTTTTTTTTATGAAGGAGCAGGAGAGCAAAGGAAACCACTGCTGAGATTCTTCCCAGGAATTCTGTTGGTTTTAGTTAATTGGACTAGAACAGATATATTAGACTTTTTGCAGCCTAAAGGGCAACTCATTGTAAGGTAGGTCTTTAAGCAAATGAAAAACCCTTGAGCTACCTGATTCGAGTGAAGGCATAGAGCAAGTAAGCAGCTGTATTTCCTCTGTCATCCAACATTTTATCAAAGGAAAAGATGTAATCGTTCATCCTGTTATGGGAGAGATCAGCATATTTAATGCAGCCAAAAGCAACCGATGTCTGTGCAGCCTTCAGTTCTTCTTCAGTTAGGACCTATAAAAAAACCAAAAAGAAAAAAATCAGGTTGTAAGCAATTTAGGAATGTTAGAGTTTAACTGATTAACCCAGTAGCCAATAAGCTGATTCTTATTGGTTAATGGTATCGGATAAACTCAGCCGGCTCCTGGGGAGGCGGCTTTGCTGCGGCAGGACAGGGAAGCCTTCTCTCTGGGAGCCGGGCCGGTAGGAGCTGGCAGCCCTGCTCCCAGGGAGGCTTCGCTGCGGACTGCAATATAAAGCCTGCAGCGCATGTAACCGCTAAGATGTTCCGTGGTTACATGGTTACCATGTTATATGATTGCTAACATCCCTAGTAACCATTCTGTCCCCGTGCAGCATGCTGGGCTTCCTCCCAAGCCCAGAGAAACAGACAGGCCTCAGTAAGAGCTACTCTAGAGGCACAGGCTGGACAAAAACATGGTTGTTGGTTCTGCTGTTTCTAGAGGGCAACTAGCTGGCTAGAAACAGTTTCAAAGCACAGATTGTTCAGTCAAATTTCCTTAGCGCTCAAGTGAATTTTGTATTTCATCAAGGCTTGCTATAAGGTGGATACACAACACTTCCTGCTGCCAAAGTGGCCCCAGGCAAGTATTGTTCCTGTGACACTTAAAATTAAGGTCCTATTCTCTGTGTATGGACAGCAAGATTAATGGTTGGGCCTAGTGCCTTTAACCGAAATGTGGGCTGGTTGTGGCCTCCCCATGCAATTAGAGGTAAAGTTGAATATTGGTAAAATGCTTTGGAAGAGGGAAAATGACACCTAACTGTAAAGTAGCACTATTCTGCCCCACTCTTTGACCTCAGAGAGGTTTAGAAAGAAGTTAGCATCTCTCCTATTCTGCCTCCCCCTATCACCAGAACAGAATGGTCTGAAAGTCAGGACTCATATTTCAGTTAATGAGGAGCTCTTCAAAATCAGTTCATCTGACATTGTGGAACAAACTTAAAAAACAACAAATGGTCTGGTAGTTCTTTATAGACTAACAAAACATGTAGATGGTATCACGAGCTTTCGTGGGCACAGCCCACTTCTTCAGATGACCGGAGTTTATCTGAAGAAGTGGGCTGTACTCACGAAAGCTCATGATACCATCTTGTTAGTCTATAAAGTGCTACCAGACCATTCGTTGTTTTTTAAATTTATCTTGTACAGACTAACTCGGCTACCCCCTGAAGCTTCCATAGTGGAGCAAGGCCGCCCAGCTAAGGCTACGCAAGAGAAACTGCCCTATCACACATTTCTGAAGCTATTTTGAGGCTGTATCATTTTTACTGAAATCAGAGGGTGACCTGTCCACAATTCAGGCTCTTCTATAGCTTCCTCGCCTCTGCAATCTCCTCATACATGACCTGCTTGAATTCCAACAATTCCCAAATAACAGGCTACACCATAGGAGTTGTTTGATCACGCAGAGGCTCCAGTGAAATGTGCCACAGAGCCAGTCAAGAGAGAAGAGGTTTGAGCTATATTATACAGCCTCCGTACCAGCGACCCTGGAACTCACTATCTCAATATACCTCATCGCTCAGTGCGGCAGCAAAGGCTGCGCTGTATGGAAAACTGCACTGCTGTGTTCTGTATTCTACCACCACCTGCTGGACCTTTAAAGCATCGACTGTTTACCCCATTGCATACAGTAGAGATTTAAGGCCCTCTTACAAGGCAGGGACCTCTCCCAGGCAAGGAATATGACCTGCCCCAACTTTTTTATTTTTTTTAAATTGTTTCCACCTTGGCCAGGGGCAGCTGACAGGGTGTTCCTGGTGGAAGTTCATTTTTGTTTTTAGTGTAGCAATCTCTGCCCCTGCTCCTCTCCTGCCTAGGGCAGCTTCTCACCTAACAAACCTCTCCCACCTCCTCTGCTGCCAAGAGAATTTCTGTCCCAAACAACAGGGCCAAGTCCCAGAGCTGCTTACCATCCTGCACCCAGCTGGCTGACTCTCTCTCTCCTACTCGCCTCTCAGATTTTACCTCCTTTCCCTGTTAAAAATCCCTGCTTTGCCAGCAGGCTCCTGGCCCCACACTGGGCAGTCTCCCACAGCTCAGATTCTGCTCCCGAAGAGCAGCTTGCTCAACATTCTGCATCAACTTCAGCCAAAGCAATGAGAGGGGCAGGGCTGACTACAGTAAATTCTTCTAGCACTGAGTGCTTTAACATCCTAATCTGTGCTCCCGGATCCAACAGGGCAATAAGTATTTCAGGGCTTGTCAACCCCTGGGAAGAGCTGAGAGCAGCTAGTGTGGAATGCACACTAACTCCCCGCACCGCCCCTCGTACTGTGCACTAAGGGTGTCTTCTTGCTCTGTAGCTTAACGCATTTGAGAAGTGCGATAGCTAAACTGCCTGAGGGCACTCAGCAGTCCACCTACAGAATTATACAGAAGAGCTAGTGGGTCTTTAATTCATACCCTGGCTTCCTGCCCACTAACTTCCCATGTAGACAAGCCCTCAGACTGGGGATGTGAACAGATAACTGGTTAACCGATTACTGGTTAGTGTCACCCTTACCAGGTTATATTTACCAGGTAATGCTTAACTGGTTCTCCGGGAGCAACACTGCAGGGCCCGTGTGAGGTCAGGGGCTGGCAGCTCACCTAGTGCGGGGCTGGGAGTGGAAGTCTTGCAGGCTGGTTGGGAGCTGCTCTGGCCAGGCTGGAGCGGTCTCCTGCCTGGGATCCCACTTAGTCAATTAACCGGTTAAATGTTTAGCTAACCTAACGTTCATCCAGGTAACTTATTAATTGGGATTTTACATCCCTACTCACACACTGTATCTTTCAAAGCTACAATGTCCAGTCAGGACTGAGGCTTTGCTGGAAGTGCAATCCTGCAGGCTCAAGTGAGCGCTGATGAACCAAGAAATACACTAAATCCATTAGGAATTAACATCAGTGCCTGCTCCACAGTGCAGGGAAAAGAACGGTTACTTACCTGTAACTGTTGTTCTTCGAGATGTGTTGCTCATGTCCATTCAATTCCCCTCCTACCTCCCCTTCGTCGGAGCGTCCGGCAAGAAGGAACTGAGGAGGGAGAGCGCCGGCAGGGGTACTTATGCTCCGCCATAGCGGCGCCACTCCAGGGGGCGCCCTGCTGGCACTATGGGTACTGCTAGGGAAAATGCTCCGGAAGACGCAGTGCACGTGGTGCGCACACCTGATTCGAATGGACATGAGCAACACATCTCGAAGAACAACAGTTACAGGTAAATAACTGTTCTTTTCTTCTTCAAGTGGTTGCTCATGTCCTTTCGAATCAGGTGATTTCCAAGCCAACCCCACTCCATGGAGGAGGGGTCGGAGCACCCAGAAAGAGAAGTCCAGGAAAGATGAACAACCCAAAACATCTTTATTCAAGTAACATAACACGGAGAACTGTTGAATAAAGTGCAATGTGGTACAGAGAAAAAAACTAACATATTTACAATACAGAGCTGAGACCCGCAGAGCCCAACCCCTGGCCTGCTGTGTCAGCGCATAGTGAGCCATAAAGGTATGCACTGAAGACCATGTGGCCGCCCTGCAGATTTCCGTAATTGGAACCTGCGCCCCCAAAACTACAGAGGACGCCTACGCCCTGGTGGAATGTGCTGTAACCTGGGGCGGGACCTTCCCGGCCAAGACATAACACTCCCTGATACACCCCGCGATCCAATTGGACGACCTCTGGGTCAAGATAGGGAGCCCTTTCATTCTGTCCGCGAAAGCAACAAACAGTTGTGTGGACTTACGAAAGGGTTTCATTCTATCAACATAAAAGGCTAACGCCTGCCTAGCGTCTGGGGAGTGGAGCACTTGCTCCTTAGGACAGGCATGGCTTTGGAAAGAAAACCGAGAGGTAAATTTCTTGGAACAGATAGAATGGTGACACCACCTTGGGGAGAAAGGCCGGGTGAGGATGGAGCCTCACATTATTGTCCGAGAACAGTAGGTAGGGTGGATTTACAGTTAGCGCCCTCAGCTTGGAGACCCTGCGAGCCGACATAATGGCCACAATGAACGCAACCTTCATAGAGCGGGGCTTCAGAGAACACATAGCCAGCAGCTCAAAGGGGGGTGGCATCACTCGCTGCCTTCCATGTTGGATCGACAGGAGTCTCTCTGTTCTCTGACCATGTGGTCAAAAGATTCCTTAAGGGTTTTGATAAGTTATATATCTCGGTTAGACCCCCTCTCCCTTTTCTTCATTGAGCATGAGGCCCAGTCTTACGAAGAGAGTCCTTATAAGGGAAATATGAGCCTCCACTAGTTCGTAGGATCGACCATGAATCAGCCAGTCGTCTAGGTAAGGAAAGACGTGTACCCCTTTTTTGCGGAGGAAAGCTGCTACGACCGACATGCATTTCGTGAATACCCTGGGTGCTGTCGAGAGACCAAATGGGAGCACTGTAAACTGGAAGTGACAGCAGGATACAATAAAGTGGAGAAACCTCCTGTGGCTGGGTCTTACTGCCACATTAAAGTAAGCGTCCTTGAGATCAAGAGTTGCGTTCCAGTCTCCTAACTGTAATACCGGGATAACAGAAGCCAGGGTTACCATTCTGAATTGGGATTTTACCACCATCTTGTTGAGGTCCCTGAGGTCTAGGATGGGATGAACCCCGCCCTTGGGGTTTGGGACAATAAAATACCGGGAATAAAACCCCTTGCCCTTAAATGTGGATGGACCCTCTCTACCGCTCCCTTTTGGATGGAGAATGCCTTCATGAGAGGTGTCCCTGAAAAGGGACGGGCGAGTTGGAAGGGGGTGAACCCAGGAAGGGGATAGTATAGCTATCTCTGACTATTCTCAGAACCCAGGCGTCGGTGGTGATTCCTACCCAGGCACGGGCAAAACGGGATAATCTGGCCCCAAACAGGGGGCTAGGGGGGGAAACTGGTGCGCAACGCTCTAGAGGACCGTCAAAATGGGTGCTTGGACTGTTGAGAGGGGCCGTGTCCAACCCCACGGGGTTATCCCCTCTTGGGCGGTGACGACGACCTCTGGCCGATGACGGGGCCACAGCCACCCCTGCACCCCCACTGGGAGCACGAGGATGGCATCTCCAGTAATCCCCACGGGGGACCTGGGACTGCGTTCTCCCCTACTGTCTGTAGGGATGGGACTGCGTTCTCCCCTGCTGTTTGTAGGGAAGCTGACGTCGCTGAGGAGCCGGCATGTGGATCCCCAAGGACCGGAGAGTAGACCTTGTGTCCTTGAGCGTATGGAGCCTCAAGTCTGTATGCTCCGAGAATAATGCCTTGCTGTCAAAAGGCAGATCCTGAATAGTAGTCTGGACATCAGGAGGTATTCCAGACACCTGCAGCCAGGCACTACAGCGCATAACTACACCTGACGCCATGGTGCGGGCTGCAGAGTCAACAGCGTCCAGTGAAGCCTGAAGAGCTGTACGGGCGATAGTCCTGTCCTCTGTGGTCATAGCCGCAAACTCCTGACATGCCTTGGCGGGAAGCCTATCTTTAAACTTATCCATCGCCTGCCATGTGTTATAGGCGTATCGGCTCAGCATTGCCTGCTGGTTAGCACTGCAGAGCTGCACCCCACTAGTGGTATACACACACCTTACGCCCCATCAGGTCGAGGCGTTTGGGCTCTCTAGCCTTCGGGGACAGCCCCGACTGCGGAAGTCTCTCCTTCTGGGCCGCAGCTTGGACTACCAGGGACCCCAGGACAGGCTGGGAATACAGGTGCTCGTGCCCTGACTGCAGGACATAATAGCGACTTTCTACTCCCTTTAAGGTAGGGGTTAAAGAAGTCGGGGTCTGCCACAGGGCGTTACTGATCTTAGCCACTGTTTTGTTGAGTGGCAATGCAAAACGGGCTGGCGCATCATCGGACAGGATGTCTATCATGGGATCCGTGTCCTCCACTACTGGCTCCACTGGGACACCCAGATTGGAGGCCAGACGCCGGAGCAGATCCCGATGCGACCAAGAATCTATTGTCGGCATTGCCGGTGCGGGATCCGCTAAAGCTTCGTCAGGAGACGAGGACGATGACTCCTGGAATGGCACCGGATCTAGCATAGGGCCCGATGGAGGGGGCAGCAGCGGGTCCGGCACTGAAGCCTGCGGATCTCTAGCGGCATCGATAGTAGCAGCCGTCTGGGCCAAGGGAGGGGGTCGTGACAGCGACGCCGACAGAGGTGCCTGGAGACACTCGACACCACGTAGCGGGGCACAGGCCCTTGCCACTGGTGGTATGCCTACGGCGTCCAAAAAGGCCAATGCGGCTGGGGTGGCCAAGTCTGCTGCACACGCGAACAGTGCCGGGAACGGGATTTATGATGTGACGAAGCTGCCGAGGACTCCGACCTGAAAAAGCCCACATCAGAATCTGAAGAGAAGTCAGACTCAGGCCAGGGTGGTGCCAATGACGAGTGCCCTGGCACTATCGGAGGGGTGAACCTGGCCATAGATTCTGGCTTGCCCGCGTGCGTGTGGTGAGGGCGTACCGGTACTGGTAAGACAGGCCCCTGTGCTGCATGCAGTGTCGACGCAGTGCATGTGGACGGTGCCGGTTGTGGGCGTGGACCTCTCAAGTCCAGTTGCCCCAAAGACAGCACCCCCATTGTTGCCCCGATGGATACCACAGCAGGCAGGACAGAAGGCGCCCTCAAAGAAATGGGCATTATCGGCGTTGGTGGTACTGGCATGGCCCACTGGGCTGATGCCGGTACCTGAAGTGGTGCCGAAGAGCCCGGTGCCTGCACTTGCATCAGTGCCGAAAAGCCCGGTGCCGAAGACAGAAGCAGCAACCCGGTCAAGAGGGTCGGTGCCGTTGACGGTGCCATAAGGCTTGAGTAATATGGTGCCGTTGATGATGCCATAAGGCCTGAGTAATACAGCACTGGGGCAGCCAAGACCGGTTCCGGGAGAGGTCCCAGCACCGACAGGGGTCGAGGCCAGTCAGGCACCGCGTGAGGCCTGGCGGCCCTTTGTCGAGGCTGGCACCGAGGTAGAGGCAAGCGGTACTGGTCCCACTGCATATGTGAGCGGTGCCGACCGATCCAACCGGTGCGGAGGAGAAGCCAGTGCCAACATGGATCCCGGCGTTGAAGATCTCGACCTCTCCGCCTCAATCGACGACAGAGGGGAGGTAGTGAGGCTAATCAGGTCCTGCGCCGCCGCAAAAGTGTCCGGCGTCGAAGGACGATGCGAGGGTAGCTGACCTGGACTTGATGGTCGTCCAGCTCTTTTACACTGCACCATACTATTCAGAGACGCCTGCACTGAGGCAAGCGGTACTGGTCCCACTGCATATGTGAGCGGTGCCGACCGATCCAACCGGTGCGGAGGAGAAGCCAGTGCCAACATGGATCCCGGCGTTGAAGATCTCGACCTCTCCGCCTCAATCGACGACAGAGGGGAGGTAGTGAGGCTAATCAGGTCCTGCGCCGCCGCAAAAGTGTCCGGCGTCGAAGGACGATGCGAGGGTAGCTGACCTGGACTTGATGGTCGTCCAGCTCTTTTACACTGCACCATACTATTCAGAGACGCCTGCACTGGGGATTCGAGGCAACGGTGTAGGCCGGACCTGGACTTCCGGCTCGGAGACCTACCCCGTGAAGACCTTGACTTCTTCGGCACCGGGGAGTGAGAGCGGTACCGAGGCCTCAGTACCGAAGTCTGCGCATGGGATGGAGTGTCCCGTGTCGACACCGGCACACTGTGGAATGTCCAGTCGGTGCCGGCTGTAAAGCTGCCTCCATGAGAAGCTTCAAACGAGAGTCCCGCTCCCTCTTCGTGTGCGGCTTGAACGACCTGCAGATCTTACAGGCATCTGCTAGGTGACCCTCACCCAAACACTTTAAACAGCTATCATGAGGGTCTGCCTTGGGCATGAATTTAGCGCATACAGCGCAAGCCTTAAAGCCTTGTGGTCCAGGCATTCCTCACCCCTGAAGGGGGAGAAGGAAAAAACAAAGAACTGCTAACTATATAACTAATTTGAACTATTTACAACTATCTACAACACTAAGAGAAACGGGAAACCATTAACTACTCTAACAGAGAGACACGCTCCAACGACCGTCACGGGTGGTAAGAAGAAATTGAGGAGGGGGAGCGTCGGCAGGGGTACTTATGCTCCGCCACAGCGGTGCCACTCCAGGGGGCGCCCTGCCGGCGCTACGGGTACTGCTAGGGAAAATGCTCCGGAAGACGCGGTGCGCGCGGAGCGCACACCTGATTCGAATGGACATGAGCAACCATTCGAAGAAGAAATTGACACACTTCAAAGGTAGAGGGACTCTCTTACTGGCATCAAGAACAATCCCAGGCCATAAAACAGGGCTGCTTGCTAATCACAGCTTGCAGCAGAACAAGCCAAATAAGCCATGTGATGGAGGAGAAAGACTTGCTCTGAATATATTCTCCTTCGGCTCCATTATACAGAAGCAGGCAGTAAAGATTAAGCCCACTTACTTTTCAAGAAAGAAAGTAAAGCATCACAATCACCTTGTCACGCTCTTTGTCCTTCAGTTTGTCCATTGATCGTTTCAGCCCCTCTTCCAGGAGATCAATGAGCCGCACTGTATCCCCAGAACGAGTTTTGAACTTTTTCCTGAAAGCACATAGACAAAAATCTTGTTTGGCTTGATAGAAACCCCGCAAACCCTTGCAGAACTAAATCTTCCAATTTCTTGCTTGGCTCACATTCCTCAATAGTTTAATAGATTCAGCTGCACATTTCAATGGCCTCCACATCTAAGTCAAAAGCATAAAACAGTCAAAACTGGTGCACCTATGAGTGGAGGGGAACTGTAATAAAACTGACAGGGGAAAAGAAATGTTGTGATTGCCTGGCAATTGTGTCAGTCATGTGGGTAGGACTGTTTTCATGCATCATCAAAGCAACCATTGTCAGAAAAATACCTCAAAATAGTTCCCCCTATTTTAATAGTGAAATGCAACAAAGGACACAGCCTGTGGACTCAGAGCTACACACAGCTCTTGCAGAATGCATGGGTTTGATTGCAGTTTCATGTAAGAGCAGCTTGGGATGACGTTCAGAGTAACTGGTCTAGAGACATGGGCACTGGGATCCCTTTCAATCCCTTCATGCAACCAGAGAGAGATGGGGAAGGTGGAATGAAAACCATCCCTTCATCCTTCTAGCAACGAGAAAGAGGGAGACAGACAGACACAGCTTAAGAGTCACAGCTAGCCACAGTGCAACCCTTGAGCACATTGTGTGAAACGCTCCTCAAGTCACAAAGTCCAGGAAAGCAATGCGATGCCATGAAAACCAGAAGGGGAATTTCAAGCCATGCTACAATCAGCTTGTGACCCTTTGTGGGCCGCGAACACTTCTATTTGTAGCAAAGGGATAGAACTGGATTGCAAAAAAGACTGAATTAGCTTTAAATTCCTTTCATAGAGCCTATGGGACAATTCTGTGGTTTTGTTCCCAATTAGCAAAACAGAAACACAAACCAGACATGGAGGACACCGAACACTCTTGTCAAAGAAAATGGATCTAAACCTACAATCTAGCCAGAGTGACTGGGACAGCTTGGGATGGAGTTCTAAGTATTTAAATATTCGAAAGTTCTAAATATTTAAATAAATATTTTTCTTATAGAAAATAAATTCAGATTTCTTAATTTGCAGTTACTTTACCAAGAAACAACAAAACACTGGCTTGCAATGTTAATGAACTTTGTTTAAAAGAAACTGGGGTATTTTTAGGTAGAATTTTCTGAGGTGAAAAGAAAGCAGATCTACTTCATTTGGAAAGAAAGCAAGGTGGCTTTAAAAAAAAATCCCTGAACTTTTTAGATTCCAGAAAAATAGTTCATTTTTATAAACTAGTAACAAAATACAGTAAACTTCCAATAATCTGGCACCTTTAGGACCCAGGGGGTGCCGGATTATCAGATATGACGGACTATAGCTGTGGTCACCAACCAGTAGATCATGAGCTACCGGTAGATCTCAGGGGCTCTAAGAGTAGCTCTTGAGCCCTCTCTGAACTGCGCACCTGCTCAGTACATTTACATTAGATTTCCTCATTTGAGGTGCAGCTACTCACTGAGCAACAACACAGGTGAGTAGCTGCGAGGAATGGTGAGAGCTGGGAGGTCGGGAGGGCTGAAACACCCCAGCCAGCTGACTGTGGCTTTCACAGCTGGAGCTAGGCGCAGCCTCCCTGGGCTGAGTGCAGGGCAGCCGGGCTGGAGGGATGAGAAGCTGCCTGGCCTGCTGGCTGTGGCGTTCAGCCCAGAGGAGGCTGAACCACGCTCCAGCTGATTGGGCGGCTTCCCCTCTGCACCTGCCCACATGGAGCTTGGTGGCACCCTGGCTGAGCACCATGGCCAGCTGGCCAGGCAGCCGCTTTTCTTCACTCCAGCCCGGCTGCCCTGCGGTCAGTCCGGAGGGAGCGCAGGTCGGAGGCTTCCCTCCATGGCTGGGGGGGGGGCA